TGAGCCAGTTCACAATGTTATCTGCCACTATCTCAGCTGGGTTTCCTGATGTCATCTTTCTGGAGTGAAATGCCACGAAAATACTTCCCCTCCTGGTTCACTGCAGCAGGAGTAGTGTTCTCCTTCACCATGGCAGGGAACAACTTGTCAGAATCTCCAACTTTCTTGCCAGAACACTTAGTGTCATCCCTTCTCCCATCAAAGAACAAACAATTGATTCCATTTTCTCTTTTATCCCCTTTATCAAACTCCTCTTCTAGGTTACTGACAAGTTTTCTCCTGAGCTCTCCCTTACTTTTGTTACAGATCTATCACCAGGTGAACATCAGGTGTTATCAAACCACCGTCAATCCAGGCAGCTGTTACATTCCTGCAGTTTCTCTGAGACCAGTGTGGTGTCGTATACAAAATAAGAGAGCTATGCTCGGGATATCTTTCCTATTTCCTGAATCTTATGCCTGGAAGGGTTGGATCATTATTTTCTGGTTAGGGACAAAGTCAACAATCTCCTGGTCAGCACTCGATCAGCCATGGGGGAAGTCATTAAACTCTTGAATCAGCTTGACTCAATCATCGGCCTTACCTCACCCTGGGCCTCTCAAGTCTCTCTTTTCCTCGGCAACTCTTCTCCTCTTCTGTCTCTCTCTGTGGCAGTCTCCTGTCTCTGACTCTGAATATCTGGCTAGAAAATCATGAGAGCCTCCTTATACCAGTCTTCTCTTCAAAGCTTTGACAAATGCCAGTTCGATCACAGGAATCTTTCAGTTCACGCTTTTGCAAATACAGGAGAGAGGGCCTCGGATTTACAGTCATTTATTCAGAATCCAAACTCTGTGACAGAACACCGGGGCACTTGCAAGTAATTATGCTTCAAATAACTGGTCCAGTTGTTTAAGTAAAGTTGTCCTTAACTGCAAAAGTTTTCCTCCCAAGAGAGAGAGATAGCCCCTTGCCTTTTTCCCAACTGGCTAGCAGCCCTCTCACTAATCTTCTTCTGACTTGTTATGACTGGAGGCTTGAACTGGAGCGTTAGCCAGAGTGCACTGGTGCCAAGACAGCTTTGGTCATATCACTGGCAATGTCTTTGTTTGTGTAAGTTCTTGGTTCTTTTCACTGATTTGCTCCGATTAAAAAACACCGTATCTCAAAGCATCTCTCTCCATGTAGGCAACTCCGACTTCAGGAGCTTCTCCCCAGACCCAAGATAGTACTGAGATGGCTGGATTTTTGGTTCTCGTCCTGACACAAGCAGCCATCGCAAATATTATCAACTTATAAAATGAATCAGAATCTGAAACAGAAAAAAAGTATTGTTAGTTGGGTTGTTAAAGAATGGTTGCAGAAAGCAATGTTCACTATTTAATTGTAATGCACTAAATGCAGTTGTATTGTTAGATTTTCGATAAATTTCACGCTAAAATTTACCTAGCAAAAGGTTGCAAAATATTGAAACTGAAATTATTTTCTGTTTATACACTAAAATCTACCAAAAAAGTGATGGGCCATTAGTTTTAGCTGATCTTCCCTCCTATGACACACCCTATTATACTAACACTCCCCTCCAGCATTTTAGCCTTTATATACATTAATAAAAAGACAGAATAAAAAATAAACTCGTATATCAGTTTAAGTATAATTTGCACTCCACGTGGTAAAGGATAAATATATAAATGTTTAAAATTTAATTATTGTTCATTGCTGGAATATATTTAGCAGAAAATGTGGCATTATTCATATTATAAATATATCGAGAATATAATATGTATTAGGTTATATTTCATAATTGTTAAGTAGATCTTTTTATACCAGGTTTCTTTTTCAAGCAATTTAATAATATTGGCGGGAAGTAGCTACACCCTCCGCCATGACGTCACCACCATGAGTCACCTCTAAGCGTTCACTACTGATACTAACCAACCTTATCTAACTTTATACATAATATATTAACCTCTCCAAGATCATAAATAACATCTGAACATCCAATCCAAACAGACAAACAAAGCCGGGGATAAAACGCTTTAATATACGACAAACAAAAGAGAATTAGGCCGAACCATACACCACCACCACCATTTGGAACAGTGACCATCATGAGTACGATCAGCAGAGGAAGAGGAAGAATGAGAAGCAATGGCGTGATTGAGGAGGTAAATAACAAGGGAAGAAGCACAGGATTGATAAATGTGAGAGATGGATGGATTGAGAAGAAGTCAACATACAAGAACGTGAGATTATTAGTTAATTAAAGACGACGAAAAGGGGTGAAGAAGAAGAAGGACAGTTGACAATAAAGAAAGACGAGAAACAAGAAAAAACCTAGATGAAGACGATAAGACACCTTACAATTACACTTAAGAAGAGCGAGTGGGGCGACACACACACACACACACTGGAGCCTCAGTAACTCATACTTCAAGCACGTCCTACAAATGACTTCCTTCATCCTTAGATTAACGACGTGTGTTTTACCGAGAGGACGTGTTGCTACGGCAGTCAAACTTATCCCCCCCCCCCCACAACCACCCTCAACAACATCCTTCAACATTACACAACATTCTTAAACGACTGGGTTAACATCTCTCGTAACATTTTGCATTTTAGTAAACATCCCGACAGCTTAGCGTTTCTACACTCTTGGATAAACACCTCGACATGTCAACACGTTTTTAACCATTAGAATTGGGGGCCCATTAGTTTTAAATCCATTAGTAGCCAGGGCCCATTAGCACTGGGGTCTATTAGCACTGGGGGTCTATTGAACACTGTCACTGAGCTCACTTAGTTGACCACTGACTTCACGAGAGGAAAGGATTGTGTTAAGTCAGCTCCAGGGATTATGCAGGTGCAGTGCTCAGTGGGTACAGTTGTGTGTCGCTGTTGTGTGGTAAATGGGGTAAGTCTGGGAGAGAGCGATAGAAAATGCTGACGGAAACCTCCATAAGTTAGATGAGCTCTGACTTAGGGGGTTGTATGAATGTAGAAGGGCTGAAAAGGAGTTCCAGAGGCTGGTTGCAAGCGAGGTCAAGAACCCAAAGGCGTTTTACCGCTATGCAAAGTCGAAATTAAAAACGCGAGTAGGAGTATCAGACCTGAGGCTTGAAGATGGTAGTTACGTAGATTCTGACCAGGATAAAGCTGAGGCATTGAACAGCTTCTTTTCCTCGGTGTTCACAAGAGAGGATGCGATTAACCTTCTTGCGTTTGAGGACAGACGAACAAAAGGTCCCCAGTGAATGGAAAGTGGCTTATGTGAGTCCTATCTTCAAGAAGGGCGATCGCCACTCCACGAACAACTATAGACCGGTGAGCCTGACCAGCATAATATGTAAAGTACTTGAGAGTATTATCAGAGATGCCGCAATGGAACATCTACTACGAAACAACCTTGCAAAGGATTGCCAACACGGTTTTATGCCGGGGCGCTCCTGCTTAACACAATTGCTCAAGGTATTGGATATTTGGATCCATATTCTGGAACAGGGTGGTAATATCGACAATATTTACCTAGGTTTTGCCAAGGCTTTCGACAGTGTACCCCATGAAAGGCTGAAAATCAAACTGGATGGGTACGGAATTCGGGGAAATGTCCTAGCGTAGATAGAAGACTTTCTACATGACCGCAAGCAGTGTGTGGTGATTAATGGCACGAAATCGTCATCCGTACCTGACACAAGTGGAGTACCACAGGGCAGTGTATTGGACCCGCTGTTGTTTGTTTGTTTCATAAATGACATGCCTGACGTTGTACACTCCTCCATACAAATGTTTGCCGATGACGCCAAGTTATTTAGGGAAATCAAGAACCAAACGGACTGTGAAGAGCTGCAGAAGGACCTCTGTGGGCTCCAAGAGTGGTCGAAGACTTGGCTGCTGAGATTCAATGTCACGAAGTGTAAGAGGATGCACCTGGGGCGTACCAACGGTAAGGAAGCGTATCATATGTCCCAACGGAATGAAGAAACTGCACTAGTTGAGACTGAATGTGAGAAGGACCTAGGTGTGTATGTTGACAATGAGCTGGAGTTCTCGGGCCATTGCGAGAAGAAGTTAAATCAGGCAAATAAATTATTGGGCCTTATAAGAAGGTCGTTCAGATATCTAGACGGTCCGTCCCTCGTAACGATCTTCAAGAGTGAAGTGCTTCCCCATCTGGAGTACTGTCACCCCGTCTGATCCCCGAGATCTAGGGACTGTCAGTTGGTTGAAAATGTTCAAAGGAGGGCCACCAAACTGGTGCCTGCACTTCGGCACCTCAGCTACCCTGAGAGATAGGAACGCCTGAACTTGCCTAGCTTATACTACAGACAGGCAAGGGGTGACCTAGTTGAGGTGTACAGTATAAGCATCTCAGGGGGCACTACTCAATCGAGTGTCCTTACTTGGAGCTGGCGGACGCTCGCCCCACAAGGGGTCAAAGCTCAAGATTGAAGAAGCTGCAAGTCCAGAAAACTGTGAGGGCAAACTTTTTCGGAGTGAGGGTTGTAAACTCTTGGAACAATCTACCAGAGAGTGTTGTGACGGCACCGAGTGTGAGCTCTTTCAAGACAAGACTTGACCAACACTGGAGCAGGTTCAGGTACATTCAGGAGCCGGTGCATAGTACTTGCCAACAACAGTGCGTGACAGAGACGTGACCGATCGCCCAAGCGGCTAACGAGCCGATCAGTGGCGAAGAGGATAAAAGTAAAAGTAAAAGGGGATAAAGGCAAGAAGTAAAAGTGTACTAACACTGGATCTATGGAGGGGCGATCATAACCGAACATGTAGCGAACTAGTTAGGCATAAATTATATAGCTATTTATTATAACTATATACACAGATATTTTATATATTAATTTGAAAGAAAGATAAAAGACCAGCCGTGACGTATGGGTTATACACGTTTGTTCATGGTTGTCGGGGGGACGATAATCTCTTTGTTAAAATATCATGTTTTAGAGTACTTACACTCTCATCATTCTGTTTTTATTTAATACTTTGAAATTGTATTTGGAAGAATTAAATACTGATTTTATTCTATTGATACCAAAATAAAATGGTACATAGAACAAGCATGATAACTCTCTGCCATTAGTGTTGACTCGTGAAGGTAAACAAGACAGAGAGGAGGTGCAATTGGTCATTAGTGAAGTGCTTGGTTTACTCTTGCTAATATGATCTCGTTGGCCATTCCTGACTTTGGAACATGGGAAGGAAAGATATTTGTGGGTATCCTAGGATTTTCGTGGGCCACTTACATGTGGGAGGAATACTTGGCGTACAGACAGGTAAGAAAGAGTGAACAGCAGGTGTATTGATAGTCTATTATTACTGAGTTTCTTATGTTGGAATATCATGTATATAATATAGAGTTTGGTAATTTGGAGTTTAGTTTAAAAATGCTTCAATGAATAATATGTTCATAAAACTATTGGTGTTTTGTATCCTGGCCAAAGAAGAGAGATTGGGTTTTAATTCAGTAAAATTGAAGATTACAGTAACCAAAGAATCTGATATAAAAGTGTTTCTAACCTAACCTTAATATAATATAAGAAAATGACCACAGGGAAAAAGTTCTTTGTATTGAGTGTAGTGAATTTCAGGATTTCTGTGGTTGCTGTTTGCTTCAATATTACCTTTAATTCTAGATGTGTCCGACTCATAAGAAAGAACAACTTAAGGAAACTTTCCATTAAAGAAAATGGGTAAAAAATGACAGGTGCATCGGTTATCCGGTATACGAAATCGAAGTTGAAACAATATTTTTCCTTTGGTTTTTGATGAGTTATGAATTAGCTTAACCTTCATTTCTGGCGCAAATCAATAGTTTCTGAGCTTAATCCCCTCCTATCTCAGAATCTACAGATTTGTTATAAAAATCAAGGTAAAAAGTCTTCAAAACACATTGAAAACCATCAGAAAAACAAAACCCTAACCAACCTAACCTAACTGGGGAGCTGCACAGTTGTTCGATGTTTGTATGTCACGAAGTGTAAGAGGCTGCACCTGGGATGTACCAACGGTAAGGAGGTGTATCATATGCCTCAATGGGACAAAGAAACTGCATTAATTGAGACTGAATGTGAAAAAGACCCCGGTGTGTATGTTGACAATGAGCTGAAGTTCTCGGGCCATTGCGAGAAGAAGGTGAATCAGGCAACTAAATTATTAGGTCTTATAAGAAGGTTGTTCAGATATCTAGATGGTCCCTCCTTCGTAATGATCTTCAAGAGTGAAGTGCTTCCCCGTATGGAGTACTATCACCACGTCTGGTCCCCAGGATATGCTTGGGACTGTCAGTTGATTAAAAATGTCCAAAGAAGGGCCACCAGACTGGTGCCTGCACTATGGCACCTCAGCTACCCTGAGAGATTAGAGTTCCTGAAATTGCACAGCCTATACTACAGACGGGCAAGGGGGACCTAATTGAGGTGCATAAACATCTCAAAGGGCACTACTCAGTCGAGTGCCCTTACCTGGACCTGGCGGACGCTCGCCCCACAAGGGGTCACAGCTCAAGGCTGAAGAAGCCGTAAGCCCAGAAAACTGTGAGGGGCAACGTCTTCTGAGTGAGAGTTGTGAACTCTTGGAACAATCTGCCAGAGAGTGTTGTGATGGCACTGAGGGTGAGCTCTTTCAAGACCAGACTTGACCAACACTGGAGCAGGTTCAGATACATTCAGGAGCCAGTGCACGCCCAGTACTTGCCAACAGTGCATAACAAAGACGTGGCCGATCGCCCAGGCGGCTAATGAGCCAATCGGTGGTGAAGATAAAAGTAAAAGTAAAAAAAGTAAAAAGTAAAGTGTACCGCCGTGTCGTTCGATGTTCTGGGTGTGTACTGCCACGCATGAGCATACATAATAAAAAGTTAAATATCTCATTTATACTAAATTTGTGCCAGAAATGTCATTGAAGAAAAGTGTCTTAGAATTGTCAAGACTACTGATTGCAACAATAAAATTCCCGAGATTCGTGTAGTGGCAATAAGTGAAATAACACCAAAAACTTGTTGGCCGTGGTTGTTTACACCAGCCATAGGGAAACACTGGGGTCCATTCTTACGTAGGGGCCAGCCAAAGAAACCTACCCACCCTTACCTAACTTCCACCCCTTAGACCCCTAGCCATATTAAACAGAATGTACTTATTTTGATATCTGGTACCAATGAAAGTAACTTTAATGAAGTGTCATGGTGTACTTAAACATTTTTAGGACTGGTGTAAGACTCAACTCTTATGTTTTCCTTATGGCTGGCATAAGAATAGCCTAACCTAACCTACTATTGCTATAGAAAAAAATTGATTCCTAACTAAAAAAGAATCTTAGTGATAATGGTAAAAAATCGAAATACCTATTGGGATAAAAACGAGTATTAACCATAGCCACTTCCAAACTTATTTCTTACCTCAAGAATAAAGCAAATTTGGTAAGGAATAGCAATTTTCCTATTCAGGTATTTGTCCCTAGTTTATTGAGGGACAGTCCATCTCTCATGATGGAGTACTGTACGGTCATCACATCTTTGGACAAGGGGTGACTAATATAAGTTTAAAAATATCTCAGAGGGCATTACTCAATCGAGTGTTCATGCTTGGAGCAGGTGGATGCCTGCCCCACTAGGGATCACAGCTCAAGGTTGAAGAAGCCACAAGTTTAGAAAACTGTCAGGGCAAACTTTTTTGGAGTGAGAATTGTAAACTCATGGAATGGTATTATTTTAGTTGGTAAAATTATCGTTTTGGTCATCCCTATGTTTTTCCAGCAGTTTTTTGTATGTTTTGAATGTTTTTGATCTTACCTAACCTTACCAAATTAACCTAACGTAGTCACAGAACCCAGGAACTATATTTAACCTAACTTAACTTCCTAAGATTCTCGTGGTGTAGATTAACACAGTATTACCTTTTTCTTCCTTATTTTAAATTTTTCTCTGTTCTTTTTTTTTCACCCCTCAGGCCCCGTTGTGGGTCGTTTGACCTGTGCCCAGGTGGGCTAATTCTTGTAAAAAAAAAAAAAAAAAAATATGTATTGACTTATTATTTTCTCCAGATCATAAAACCAGTGTACTTGGCTAAATGCCCTATTCCCTCTCCTTGCCATTTTCCTTTACAAGGGAGCTAGATTATACTGGTAGAGGAGGTACGTATGTTAAATATATCTACAGTATAGTAATTCTGCTGATGATTTTGTGACCTTAGATATATTCATAACAGAAGTTTATGATGACCTAAAGAATTAAATGATATTCTTGTGTAACACATTACAGCGTCGAGTATACCGAGAGAAAGTGGAGCCACCAGAGGAACTGAAGGGTATCATGGAAAGAGTCACATATGATAAGGCTCGGGCATATGGTCTTGACAAAAGTAATTTTAGCCTTATTGAGGGAGCCTTCAATCAGGTTTTGAGCACGGTAAGTGAAATAAAATTTTTAATGATACCTGTAATAAAACCAGTAGTTGGCTGACTGTGTCTTCAAAATACAATATATTGATGTACAGTTTAATGTATTTATCTTACTTGTAGTGTTTATGGCTGTAACCTAACCCAACCATTTCATTCATTCCTCGTAAACTTTTAATTCAAGGCTGACATCTTTAATAACTGAGTCTTGTTGAGAGATATCATCAGAATACATAAACAATGATTCATGGTCAGTCAGTTGTGCACAAGCAAGATAAATGCCACCAGTATAATACTATATTTGTATGAAATTCAATCATTGTGTAGTAGCTTCTCAAATGCAAACATGATTTATGTATTTGCAGGGTATTATGGTGTGTGGAGGCTTTCCTGCATTATGGACAGCCTCTGGAAGGTTGGCGCAGTGGTTTGGGTTTGCTCCTGACTCAGAAATCCCTCAGACAGTAACTTTTGTGTGTCTGGGGTCATTAATTAACACATTCATCAGCCTTCCCTGGTCAACCTACTTTACCTTTAAGGTGGAGCAGAAACATGGTTTTAACAAACAGGTAAGCATGATCACAGGAAACAGATACACTGAGCATTTAAAGGTGTCAGCAAGAATAAAAATCAGTGTTTGTTCTACTATTTTGAGAAGAAAATAGCATAAATGTAAGATAGGACTATTTTATCAGGTAGACTTGAATTCGTAATTGAAGGTAGAAATTATTACAATATTTTTTTTATTAAATACACTTTGTTCTGCTGCAGGCTTGGGGATTTAATTTTGTCCAATTTTAATTTTTACTTAATTTTGTCTATACTGTACAGTATTGTTAACATTACCATAAGTGCTCTAGAATTAATAAAAGGCAGGGAAAAAAAGAAGTATGTTTGCCTTTTGCTATACTGTACAGTATTGCCCCATTAATGTCTACATTTATTTTTTAAATGTGAATTTGGGCCATCATTGGGAAAGATGAGGATTTGAACATAATTGAGAAATCATTAGAAAGAAGAGTAAAAATAATGTGAATGGCATGTGAAGCTGTAAAACAAGCTAAGGTACAGATTTGAAAAACAATATTATTGAAATGCTGTACAGGTCCTGTCCGAGAGAACAGTGACAATTGAGAATGCTGTGGAGGGTGTGTAGTAGTTTTTCATTGAGTGAATGTGTTAAGAAGATGAAAAGGGTTAGAAAAGGATGTTTGTGCCTTGGAATTCAGTGAAAGAAGAACTGGACAAAAAAGCCACAATTATGAAGAATTAGTGAAAGATATATGAAGGAGATAGGGAATCTGAGCAGAAATATGTGGAAAGGTAATGGAAAATGAAATTGCAGAAACAGGAGATGAGAAGGTAAATTACTGTAGATGTAAGATTAAAAGGTGAAAAAGGTCTTCTGTTTGGAGAAAAGGAGTACAGTATTGTACAAGTGCTCATGTTATTAAAAGGGGAAATGATGATTATATCTTGCATACAGGTGGAAGATCCAGTAAAGAAAACAATGTCCTGGAGGTGAGAGAAGCTATAATTAAATTAAAAACAGGGAGAGATTGTGGCAGAGATGCTGAAAGTTGTTGACCACGCAGTTACTTATTGAGTACACATAATCCATAGTAACGTAATTGTGGTAGGTTGAAAAGGTACTGATTACCAAGAAGAGAATAAGTTTAGAACTCTTGTCCTTGGGAGAAGGTAGTGATGGTAAATATTAGAGCAATGGAAGCATTAGCCTGTTGAACATACCAGGTAAGGTGGATGATACAATACCTTAATGGTATAGAATTTATAAGCAATGACCAGGTGTGATATAACTGTAGAGAAAAGATAGTTTTCCTGAAGTAGGTTATAGAAAAACGTAGCATTAAAGAGTATTTTGTGGTCCTCGATTAGGGGAAGGCATATGAGGGTACTTATTAAAACACTGGACTGGCAATTGATTTTATAATTAAGTAGTAGAGGAGCTAAGTATTAGACACAACGGTGTGATTCTACAGCTATAGTAACATTATAACATGTCTGAAGGTACGTACTGTATATGGAGATTGAGCAAAAGATTTGAAGTACAGTCAACAACAGATGTTCATCCCAAGCCAATTGCATGATATGAGGCAGATGATCTGATAACACTGTATGGGAAGAGTTGACAAATATGCTTCAAATTACATATTATGTAAGATTCATGATCGGAGATTGCCTAAGAATAAATATTTTGTATACTGTATAGCTTAAATGGTGGGTTGGGACGAACTTTTGCTGTTGACTGTACGTGTTGGTATGGGAGTATGATAAGAGTGTAAGGTTTCCTTAGCTTTGTAATGTATATTTAGTATACTCTGCAATTTTTTTTTGTACTCCAAAATTGTATACAACAATTATGTTTATAAAATACCCTCAGCTTGTATTATGGGGGACTGAAGGTAAATCATAGTCCAGTCCCTCAGTGAGCAGCTTGTAATACTAAAGCTGTGAGTCATAAGACTCCATTAGAAAAGATAATTTTAGGATTATTCTTTCTGTTTCAAACTTTATGAGATTAAAATGATTTTCTTACCTTTCTTGACACTTCCACAGACTCCAGGATTCTTTTTAAAGGACAAACTGAAGAAATTCATAGTGTCACAGATGATATCTGCACCAGTCGTGTCTGGTTTGGTCTACATCATCAGGGTATGTTACTTTGGTAGATGGTATATTTATTTATTTATTTATTTATTTATTTATTTGTTTATTTATTTATTGAGAGAGATTCCAGTTCCCACATCAATATAGCAGGAAAGGGATTGAAAGAGTGGACAATATAGTCACATACAGTACTCCTGAAAAGCTAAATTTTCCAGCTTTGGCCAGAGAGTACCTTTGGACTGATTCAGCTTGATGAGGCAATTCACAGAGCAGAAACTGTCATACTAATAGATATCATATTTTTTCTTAGTTTTTCTTGTGAAAACTGCATTTTATTTTTTTAAAGATAATGAAGGTATATTAATACAGTCCTCATTAGCTACTTTGTTATATTTCTTAATGAACTCTCTAGTAACTAGTATAACTGTATTAGTGTACAGTATTAGTGAATTTTAGAGAAAATTAAATTTGTTGCAAAATTGAATTATAAAGGAGTCAAAGCTTAACACTCACTCTTCACCTAGCTTATTATTCTCCCATTCTTGAAGTTTCTGCTTTTTTTGATACATAAATTGATTCAAGTATTCCTTGATTGACATGGTAGATTCATTGTCCAAGTGTTAAAGCGATTTGCTTATTTTAATTATTCATATTATATGTTCTATGACTTTCTACTATCTTGGCAATATTGTACTGTACAATACTGTAGTTATCACTTGACTCACCCAGGGTCAGTGGGTTGGATAGGCAGCTACACCCCTTGTGGTATGGATATGGCCACCCTATTCACTCAGTCACTAACCCACAGATGTGTCTATAATTTTATAGATAAAAATGCATTGTAAATAAAATAATTTATTTATTTATTATTGGAAATTAATTCATGTAGATTCTTTGTCTCTGAATATTTATTTGAAATTTGTGATGAATTATATATTCAACATTTTGAATATTTTATAGATTTCTATGCCATCAAAAATTTCCTTTGTAATATAAACATATAATAAATAGGTAAAAAAATAATAAGCATAAAAATACACACTAGAGTAAAACCTCCATAACTCAAAATAATAGGGTCTTTAACCCTTACGAATTATGAGGGACACTTTCTCTGGAGGGAAAACAAACATAACAGTACTTTTCCGTTATCTGTCTCAATCAAAATTTAATTGTTTCTGTGAACAATATCAGATTTAGGGTTATCAGTCATAATGGTTCAAACACTGGGCACTGAGGGAAAAGCAAGTGGAAAAAGCCTTTATTGGTAGACCGTAGACGTGCACTCCACAACTGACGCCCGTGAACTGACCAACACACGTATAGTATTTGTTTACACAAAGGCGGATGGTCGCATCACATGGCAAAGTGTGCATCATACATACAGTCGGCCCTTAACATACGCGGGTTTAGCATACACGGATTTGCAAATACGTGGATTGCCCCGCCGGAGTAATATTCTGTACATTGAAGTAATTGAAGTACATTCAAATCGCGCGCCATTCAACTCGCGCGCGGCACCGAACACGGAACACCGCCCGCTCCTGCAACCTCACACATGCATAGCTACCAGTAAACAATGGAAACAATGCACCAACGCACCACCAGCTGTGAGTGTCGGTACAGTTGCCAGGGCAGATCTCTTGCGTCATCATAGCAAGCCCAAAGTAGCCAAATGCATGGTATGGTATGCACAGGACAATGTAAAACAAAGTATTCATTTTTTAAAGTTTATTTATAGATACTGTACATAAATTTTTGTTCATTAGATTTGAAACACCAATCTTTGTTAATTAAATTTGAAACAAAAGAAAACTACGATACCGTATTTTCATTAAAATATTATATCACAAGTATATTTTACCTTAACTGTGACTGAATGAATATATTCTCAGAAATAAATATGGAAATGTAATATTTTGGCTGAAATGACGTACGTATTACAGTGGAAAGTGGGATAAAATCATGACGAAAACAATGACTTTCGCTTTCTTTTGTTGTTCAAAAGATTTTACAGTAATCGCTTTTCGAATGGTTTTCAGTTAAAAAACTGTTTTACTGTACTGTATTACAATAATATTCTATCCTATCATTAGCCTCATAATCCCACAACTGAAAACCATTCGAAAAGCGATTACGGTCACATCTTTTGAACGAAAGAAAGCGAAAGTCATTGCTTTCGTCACAATTTTATCCCACTTTCCACTGTAATACGTATGTCATTTCAGCAAAAATATTACATTTCCATATTCTCAGAAATAAATAGTAGTTTTGTTGAAACGTAATGTACAGTATTTAATATTAAAATGCAAAAAGAGCTGTAAAAACAATGAATACTGTACACCCGTAATGTACTGGCTGGCATCTCCACTCGTCCCTGCTCCCGCCAGTCACCACCCCTCCCCGCTCTATCCCTCCGCCTCCTCCACATCGTCACTACTGTTGTATTACAATAATATTCTATCCTAATTCACTTGAATAAATACTACGATACCATATTTCTGAATATTTTCATTAAAATCCATCAAAATCATTTTCCTTGTCATCGTCTTCAGCACCAAACCGCTCCTCCCAGTCTTCTCCTTGAACAGGGCTAGAGGGTACGTGTTTTTCGAATCGTTTTCAGTTAAAAAAAATGTTGCATCACATGTATATTTTACCTAAACTGCGCCTGAATGAACATATTCTCAGAAATAAATACAGTAGTAGTTTTGCTGAAACGTGCCGCGCGCGAGTTGAATGGCGCGCGATTTGAATGTACTTCAATTACTTCAATGTACAGAATATTCCTCCGGCGGGGCAATCCGCGTATTTGCAAATCCGTGTATGCTAAACCCGTGTATGTTAAGGGCCGAATGTATAGTATATTGGGGTTTTCTTGTACAGTGTAGTAGTTAGTTTCACACACTCCTTGGTTACGGATGGGTTCCGTACCAGGAGGTTATCTGTAAGACTGAAGTTACTCTTCCATAGGTAATCACTGAATACACATAGCATACATAATATATATGCAATTACTATACAGGTATGGGACAATTTATCTGGCATGCTTAGAACCTGGGGGTTGCTAGATAGTTTTTTCCGGAATTTTGGGCACCAGGCATAAAATTTACATACCTAACACATAACACAGCCCACAAGTTGGGTATGGTTGGAAATAGACCCTCTCGGACTTGGAATTACTTTGCGCTCATTTTAAATAGGACTTATGGGAGTGTAATCGTAAAGTTGGAAGTCTGTTCTAAATTACTTAATTAAATACTAATTTACAGTTGTTAGGCAGGCTTTTTTGTTGTTTGGGAACCGAACCCTATTTTTCCCATATGCCATTCGAGATACAAATATTCACCTTACGAATGGTTTTCAAGGAACCTACCGGTAACCCATTTGTAAAGCTAGGGATACCTGTATGAACCAACTCAGAGAGGCCCAGCTCTTAACTGTGTTTGCTGCCCTTATTGGTATCTCGTGTTAAAATAAAAAAAAAAGGAAATGTATTGTTCATACACACATTTGCATATGAAAACGTTGAAGGGTATAATAACTTCATGCACATATTTATGTTGCTAGAGGGAATTATGTTGTTGAAGCTTCTGTTAACCAAGGAACACACATAGATAGGAACTGGTCTTGAGTTTGGTGAGGTCAAGGTTCACTGTCATAGCAGGACCTCAAGTATTTTATTAATTTTATTATGATCTTTTATAAATGTATATTTTTATGCTATAATTACAGGTTGGTGGAGACTACTTCTTTTTGTACCTGTGGGGTTTCACAATGATTGTTGTAATGTTCTTCATGACGGTCTATCCAGATTACATAGCACCACTCTTTGACAAGTACGAACCACTTCCTGAGGGTGATCTCAAGACCAAGATTGAAGAATTAGCAGCACAGATTGAATTCCCTCTTACTAAACTTTATGTAGTGGAAGGTAGGTGTTCACTTTCAAGTGGTCTTTTGTGATTAATTTTTCGCTATTGTTACAAACATCAAAAGTGCAGGTTCAGTCTAATTCATACTCCCAACACATAATTAATAACAATTCTAATGTCTTTATCAATTAATTTTTCATTGAGGGGAAGAGATGATTGGCCTGTAAGATCATCACACCAGAATACCTCCTGGTACAACCAGCAATGTTCAGGGAGCTTCCTGTGTTTTGGGGCAAGGATTTTTCCTGTTGGACCAGTGTTAACTGCTCCATTTATTGTTGAATTGGAGTTTATGAAACAAGCTCCAATCCTAGGCTACATGTACTCCAGAAGGCCATCAGGTGCCCCTGGACAAACCCTGGAGCTGATTCACTTTACTTGAACCCCTTCTTCATATTTGCCCTGCTGACAAGGAAATTCACTGAAGGAGAAAGCATGGATTCTTGGCCATATGCCTCTTACCTTTAGTCAAAAGGTTGGATTTCATACTGCAATCTTTCTATTTATTGGCTAGTGTTCTTCAAAATGTGACCTACAAGATTTCAGACCAGTTAGGAAAGGTTAGGCTTTAGTAATATGTCAGGAACACAAACGAGAACTTTGGATCTAAAGATCACTAGCCAAACTTTCCAGCAACTTACAGTATAATAGAAGATTCATCACAGAGTGGGGTTCAATCCTTTTATTCAGTGTAAATAGATAACTTATGAAGAATGCTTACAAATGCATAAGTCCAAGCAAAAGCTGAGCTAAAATACCACAGAAAGTAAGTAGACACAAGCACATGCTCTTTGACATCTCTATATGTGGAAAAAAGAAGTACTTGAGTTAAAATTACACTAAGAACAAGGAGATAGTAAGATACTGGATTATTGAAAGACAATGATTAATGGCTCCAGTTTGTTTATGTCCAAGAAAGAGAAGTCTCTCCTCTGAAAACTGAAAAAAAAGCAAACTCCTTCCTGAAGGACCACTCAAAACATATATTATAATTGGAGAAGGAATAATCATTCTAATGCAATTTAGTTTTAAATACTGCATTATGTTACCCAAATGAAATGTGTGCAAACCAAAAGAAAAGGCTTTTGGAGGTAAAGCCTCTGACACAAGGTATCTTGTACTTAACTCGATTGTTGTCAGCATCTAAAAAGGGTAAAGGGAGGAACCAAATTTCTCCAGCTTCCAGAGGCAAAGAGCATATTATGAGACTGTTGCTTAGGTTGTCTAAGTGTAATAAGAATCATGCCCGAGACCAACAGCCACTGAACAGAAATTAATCCTCAATAGAGTCCAGGGATCAAGCTAATCTATGGTTCCTGTGATAGCATAGGTGTGCAATCATATATGGAACTGTTTAAGTATTAAATCCATATTGTGTTTATGACTCTTCAAGGGTTACAAAACAGGTTGTGCGAGATGAAAGCCAAAACAAAATTCACAGTTGGAGGCAACTCAGGCTAGGATGTAAGGGTGGGTTGCAGTTCTAAAGTGTCAAACAACTAGTAAGTTTGCTCAATGGTGCCGGTAACACCTGTGGTGAGAGTCTTTATAATGATTCCCTAACATCCCTAACATTTGTTTGCCCAAATGAAGGAACTACAGTACATAATATTTCTTAATGAAAAGATTGGAATTCACAAAACAGTATTAGCATATGTGCAGGATTTGCAAATCTCATAGATGAAGCACATCCTAAATGGTCAGAAAAACCAAGGCAAGCTTCCTTAAAGGGCTATGGAATGCATCATTACTTAAAGTTTTCAATGATTTTGACCGAGCTGACGGGCGTGGCTGATGTACGTACACTTGGCTAGTGGTAACGTGTAACTTAATTAGCCGCGATTACCTGATGGCAGCTCTCCATGCTGTATGGTATCTTGCAGCCTCTCTCGTTAGGTTTTCAACTGTAATGTGATATCTTCCAACCTCTTCCCATATTATTGACCCAATTGCTCTCATCTATTCTCTCCATGTCCAAACCCTCTCAACTTACCTCTATGTAAAACTTCTCCAATACAGAACTCTCAATACCCCCTAGCTACCCTATTAGCTCTGAACAGGGTTTCCTATCTTTCAGCATCACATTGCACCTTCACCTCACCATTCTCATTTCAGCTCACTCAATCCTGCATTCATATTTCCTTTCAATAGAGGAAGCAACTTCCTAAACTTTCTCGCCTTTGAGCTAGCTTCAGCCAGGGCTGTGGAGTTGAAGACAAAACCTTCGACTCCGACTCTGTCAATCAAAAGAAAAAATAAATTTATTAAGAATTCAAGATGGTAACTAGAAAACACCATTTACATGTATATCTAAGGGTTCGATCTCAGCATATGAATTTTGTTTAAGCTCATAATCGATGTGGATCTAAATGATGATCCTACAATTCCTTTTTAAAAGTAAAGTTATATATTTATGTACATTAAAAAATGAATGCCTTAATGAGGAAAATGGATAAACCTTACATGATTAAGTTATTAAATTAAATTTGCCTTAATCTCTCACCAAAACAGGTTGTAGCTAATTGTTTTGTAGCTGAGAGCCTCTGTGTGCAGTTTTCAGCGAAAACAAAATTTGATATAATTAAATTTCTGATGATAAGAAGAGACTATAGATCCCAAAATTATAGTGCTATACTGTACCTGCTACAATAAATTCATAATAATGTACTTGGTAAATAAATTCTTTAATAATTTAAGAAAATTGGGATCAAATTGGAATCCACTGCAATGAATATGCCTGAGTTCCTTATATTTGTTCTTAGGAACGAATGAAAAGCTGATCGAGATCCGGTCTGGACAATTTTACAGCTCGACTCCTACTTATTCCTCCGACTCTCGACTCGACTCCGACT